TACAAGGAGAAGCTGTTTAATTGGTCTTTTTTGGTGGTCTCTTTTAAAATTTAAGTCGGTGAGATTAATATGCTACAACCAACCAACAAAGAGGGTTGCCTACTATGAATAAAAAATCTATAGAAAATGTTTTTATATTTTATATTTTGCTGATTGCTTTTTTGTCGTCTGTCTCTCGTCAGGGTTTTGTTTATATATATTTTTATCGGTCATAAATCTGCATGAAATATTTGCCACTTTGCGTTCAGAAAACAACGATCAATAAATCATATCTCCTCTAAAATTGCAGTATTATAATAACTTTAAACATTATCAAATAAGTGATTCGTTTAATCCTTTGGTCAGATATAAACACGTCTCGTTACTCTTTTATTATTTCAAAATTTCCGTTACAAAGAAAAAAGTATTATTGAATATCAAAGGAAGTAACCCATCAAAGACACAAGAATTGTGTTTCGTCTACATAGAAAATTCTTAGTTATTCAAACTATTCATCCCAAGGGATGAATGCATTATACGCCATTCTTGTGCAATTTTGAAACAGTTGATTTTATATATAAATATGACCACATCGATGATAATTCATGGTAACACTAGATGATGATGGTGATGAGAAGGAGGAGGAGGAGGGGGAATCAGCGGCGAATTAAATGCATATTCGGATCGAAAGCATGTTACGATATTAATATTAATCATGCCTTCTACAAGACCGACATGCTGAGTCGATTTTTTATCGTACTAGTTCACAAGGAAACAGTCCACAGGAAGATGTATTACCCAAATTTGTGTTGAAGAGATAAAAAAAAGACTTACATAATAAAGCAGACATGGCTGAATATTCCTTAATTTCAACTCACAAGAAAAACGCACATTAAAGTTTATGTGAATAAATAAAGATAACAAAACACCGTAAAAGAAATAATTGGTATTGAAAATCACGACGTCAAAGGAAATCAAATGACGTTAAATTAATTTTTTTGACATTTTTTCAACCAAACTGTCTCGATCATTAGAAATTAACGGTAGCATATTACATGCTGAAATTTATATGGTGGATAGAATATACTATGAAGATGTTCCATGTTCTTTATTTACAAGTTTTGCTGCAATTTATATTTTATCATTTTTTACTCTGACGTTGGGCGCTTTACCGGAGAACCAGTTCTAATAACTCTTGCGTCTCTTTCGTTTTGGTTTTGATGTTGTTTGTCTTTCTGTTTATACGTGTAAAGAAGGGTGTTTTTAAATGCGAACACAGGATCACGTTATTTGACATAAAAAGTCGAATAAATGTTCCAGTTAGAATTTGATTATATAGTTGACGTTCGTATGTCAATGAACGCTACACTATTCATCCGAAAGGTTGAGCTTTAGGAGGACAAACCGGGAACACATTAAATTGAAAACTTTTGGGGTAGAAGCATATGTTTAATCTTGTGTTTCAGTTATATCTGGGATATACCTAGTAATACTGGTACTGGTATTGGCTGGTTGAGGCAACGGAAAATGTTTAAGGGCCTACGTGAAATGAAATAAAAACTTTTCATTTTATCATTCATATACAGATCGAGGGCATATACTAGTAGTCTTTTGACTTTGTCCGTATGTCCGGTTACCCTTTTTTTCAGCTGGTTAATTTAAATTAATTTACGAAGAAAAAACACGTCATTTAGTTTTTACCATTATGGGTGTTACCATTTCAGAGTTATGCCCCTTAAACATAAGAAACCTGACCAATTGTGATTTTCAGACTGTTCTGTATTTTTGGATGCGGACTAAATATTTCATCTAACAAATAATAAACACAGAATGTTTACCTTTTTTAAGTATTCTGTAAAGTTGTCATTCAAAGGATAACTTTAGTTTGATTCAGCCAGAAAAAACGTCATATAAATTGATGTTTATAAAGTAATTAAATATCGTAAATGCAGAAATTTTTGTGAAGTTTCTGTTTTTGAAAAAAAAAAATGCGACGGGATAGGATTTGGCGAAAAAAAAAAACTCATGTACATGCAACTTTACTTACAAAAAACATGCTATTACAAAGGTTGGCAATGGATGAAATGAAGTTAGGCATTGCTCTGAAAAGTGGACATGTTGCCAGGATACGAAGGGCTCAAAGTTTCAGAATTTCTCAGTTTAAATGGCACAACTATAAACTCGACCAACCTATAACATTATATTAAAATGTACGAAAAATTTACAACGAAGCCAAGAACTCAGCTAGGAAATAGATTTCAACTAGGTTCAATTACAGTTTGTTCTTATATTGTGATATTAGACCACAGTAGTAGTATGTGGTTTGTTTTAAGTCGAAAACCCAGGGCGCTAAGGCACTCCCGTATAAGGCATTCCCCGCCCACTTGTGACGTCACCGGAGGTCCATACCGGATTTTGCCCGATGACGCAGCCCAGAAGTAACGTCATCTCCTTATAAGGGAGCTACTCCCTGTATGAGACATCATCTACCCTTATTAGGTGACCACATCCTCAAACCAGATGGAATAGTGTCGACCCCTAAAGTGACGTCATGTCTAACATGTTTAAGTAATAAAACACATGACTCACATAGTCGGCATTGTTGGTACGTTCATTATGCAAGAGCATGTCTCTCATTTTGGAAAATTAAAACTAAAAAAAATCAAAAATTCAATTTAAAAAAAAGTTTTAATTCAAAAAAATTTAAATTCAAAGATTTTTAAAAATGCAAAAAAAGCAAAAAAGCAAAAAAGCAAAAAAGCAAAAAAAAATAAAAATTTAAAAAATAAAAAAAAAAATAAATAAAAAATTCAGAATATTTTGAAAAATCGAAAAAAATCACTGCATAAAATTGTTCAACCTTTCAAACGTCTATAAGAATGCCTGAAGCAAAACTTGTCACTTAATGATGGATAAATTTTACCTTTACGTATCAAGCGAGGATTCTCTTTCGCTTTTAGAAAATAATGACGGTAGTGCATTCAAGATTCAACTTCACAAAAGCTGCATATTGGACGGAGAATGGGAATGTGCACTGCTAGAATTATTGTTCGTACCAAAATTTCCAACACCAACGAGACGGGTTTTCTTTTGTGATCGACAGGTACACCCGGGAAATGTTTCTGCCGATACTTCAATCGGCAGGGGTTTCGAACGAAGATATCGCGGACATCGTATATGAAAATCCAATTAACCTCAAAGTAACCAGAAACGAATTGTACCAAATCGAATTCGCCTTGAGGGATGATAATCTCAAAGTATGTCGCCCAAAGAATGACTACCTGTTTTGCTTGCTGCATTTTCGCAAGAAACCTATAATAAGAGATTGTATACACATGCAGAAAAAGTGAACATGTTCAGTTGCAACCTATGTCGAAGCGTTGGCCACATGATCTTCGAAGACATATGAAAAACAAACATGCGCAGCAGCAGCAGCAAGACCTTCCCCTATCTCTATACAACAGACCTATAGACGTGTTATTCAACAAGGCAGTCAATTTATGTTCCAATATGTACATACTTTTTTTATTTAACATTAGATCAAACCTCATTTCAATCTTAAATTTGTCATTATGAAAACTCAAGACACCTTTTTCGCTCGCTGACAGAAAAAAAAAAACCAATGTCGAGGAAAAGTATTTTGCATGTCTCTTTGACCGAAATTTATTCGTTCCCTGACCTTGATGTTTATTGGTAAACGCCCAGTAGGTGACACTCCCGACACATGTTCACCTGATCTATGAGAAGAAGTGTCTGAATCTAATAGTATTACGTGTTTTCTCTGATTTTTTAACTATTTTCACATTTTCCAACCGATTGTAAAAATTGTTCCCCTCACTAAGGAAATATCTGTTCTCGAAATTTAATTTTATGTCAATTTTTTTTTAATTTCTTCTGAATTCCCTATTGTGACGTCATAAAAAAGGCGACTATGCCTGATGACGTCACATATAAAGAACACAACTTTCTGCAAATCTTTGAAAAGGAAGGATATAAATCATTAAAGAAACAGATGCCACCGCTATAACTCGTGTATTACAATATTTTTCCACTCTCAACAGTTAAATCTTAATTCTTTAAAAAGCTCGACAAGCCTCGCGCTTTAAATATTAAAATATAACTATCTCGAGTGGAGAAATATCGTAACACACTTGTTGCAGTGGTGGAATCTATATTTCACACACACGGAATAAATGGAAAAAAATGATATGAGCAAAAGATTTAATTTTATCAATATTACATCAAAGCAGAACAATTGTGTACCAAAATATCAGAGTGAAAATAAGGGAATAAGTTTTTGTCGTTGGCATCCAGGTCGACCTATGAAAAGTTATTCAATACATCTTCCATCTTGATACTCTGACATCTCATTTTCGCGTTATAAGCGCAGTATAGTCCACATGTTTCCGAATAGTCGGGTTGAATTTGACATCGAGAAAAACGATGAGTACATTACTGAAACGTTGCTGGTAAGTCTCTGGTGCTCCTCCTAGGGAATAAAAAAATTTGGGCGGTCCAGATATGGAAAAATGAAAGGCCACCCAATGAGATCCTTCCTGGTTACAGTTGTCCGTGTTGACCACGTACGTTTTAGGTCTGTCACCCACATAGGCTGGTAATTCGTCTGCACAGCAAACGGTGCCCGACGTTCCCCTCAAAATTCCCTCTAGTGCCTCTCCAGACATTGGTAGGCGAATCAATTTCTTTTGATAATTATGGTCCTCTTTACCCTGATATTGTGCAAAGACCAGTCCGCAATCTCGACAAGCTATTAGTTCCTTTCTGTCATCTATTATATCTGACGTTGTATTTTCAGTGTCGGAACTATCACTGCCCTCCATTTCTTCAGAAGTGTCGACTCCTTTGCCAGTCTGCAAGACATCAGTTCGCAGTCTTGATGATTCTGTTGTTCCGGGTTTCAGATCAACCAGAAGGAATCCGTATGGACTGCTCTCTTCAAATTTCCGTAGAAAGAAGTTCGACCTAGACGAATACATCTGTCGTCCTAGGGTCATGACGGGATGACGATCTATGGTATTGTTAAAGAGCACGAGGTAATGACAGTTTAGTCTCTGGGTTGGGTTCATTCCAAAGTAAACGTTTTGATTTAAAACCACTACCGACAAATTTCTGTGATGACTGCCTTCCGTAAATAGATCGTTGATTCTTGAATCTTTAGTATATATATATATAGTTTTTGATAAAATACGTCTTTCGCACGAGGTCGGTCAAGATCCCATCATGGTAAACGGGTGATTAAAAACAAAATCTCTGTGCTGAGAAAATTCGTGCTCCTCTTTCAGAGGACGGTACTGCTGCTGCTGCTGATGTGGCAGTTACTACTAGCAAAATTCAAAATCCTCCTTTTTAAGGTGGGATCTGCTGTTGCTGTTGTGGCTGTTGCTGCTGCAGCTGGTGCTGCTGTTGTTGGTGATGCTGGTGCTGCTGCTGTTGTGGCTGCTGCTGCTGTTGAGGCTACTGATGTTGCCACCCAGAAAATTCGTATTCTTCTTTCAGAGGAGGGAACTGCACGTGCTACTACTGCGCATGTTTGTTTTTCATATGTCTTCGAAGATCATTTGACCAAGCATAAACGCGTCGACATAGGTTGCAACTAAAATCTTCACTTTTTCTGCATGTGTATACAATCTTCTCTTATAGATTTCTTGCGAAAATGCAGCAAGCAAAACAGGTAGTCATTCTTTGGGCGACATACTTTGAGATTATCATCCCTCAAGACGAATTCGATTTGGACCAATTGGTTTCTGGTTACTTTGAGGTAAATGGGTTTTTCATATACGATATGTTCGCGATATCTTCGTTCAAAACCCCTGCCGATTGAAGTATCGGCAGAAACATTTCCCGGGTGTACCTGTCGATCACAAAGTCTGAGCAAAAGAAGACCCGTCTCGTTGGTGTTGGACATTTTGGAACCAACGATAATTCTAGCAGTGCACATTCCCATTCTGCGTTCAATATGTAACTTTTGTGAAGCTTTGCTTCAGGCATTCCAATAGACATTTGATAGGTTGAACAATTTAATGCAGTGACTTTTTTTTTTATTTTCAAAATATTTTGATTTTTTGATTTTTGATTTTTTTTTTTTTTTTATGAATTTTATGAATTGTTTTTGTTTTGTATTTTTTTTGTTTTTTTTTTTTTCCATTTAAAAAAAAATGGTATTTTTTAATTTGAATACTTTTATTTTTTAACACTTGAATTTATTTTTCAATTTTCCAAAAAGGGAGACAGAAGCTTTTGTATAATGAACGTACCAACAATACCGACTAGGTGAGTCATGTGTTTTATTTCTTAGACATGACGTCACTTTAAGGGTCGACACTATTCCCCGTTTGAGGGATGTGGTCACCTAATAAAGGTAGATTATGTCTATGACTAATACAGGGTGTGGCCTCCTTATAAGGAGATGACGTTACTTATTGGCTGCGTCATCGGGCAATATCCGGTATGGACTTCCGGTGACGTCACAAGTGGGCGGGGAATGCCTTATACGGGAGCACCTTAGCGCCTTGTGTTTTCGACTTGCATAAAACCAACCACATCCTACTACTGACCACTGTCTCGGGTTAGGGGAGAGTTGAACGCACACAAATATGTTTACCCCTGCATATTCTATATATGCCTGTCCCAAGTCAGGAGCCTGAAACTCAGTGGTTGTTGTTGGTTGAAGGTGTGAGGTACATGTTATTTGGAATAATATATATTTTTTTAAAAGTTAACCCTTCCTTTTTTTATTTCGATCAGTGAAAAAACAAAATGTACATACCATGAGAATATTTGTGATACATTTCAGTTTCGAATTTACCTCTGTATGCTCTAAAGCAATGCTATTATAGACATCAACAGCATTGGAACAGGTAAAACAAAACTGAATAGTGAAGTTATGAAAATGATTGCTGTATTCAAGCTTAAAGCACCAGCTCGTGTATACACCATGCCAAAAAAAACACTTTATGATATTTACTAATCCCTACGGGATTCCAATATACAGCTAAATGTCAATTTCTGGAAAGTAGCTCCGCGAAAAAAAAAATTCTTATATACGAGATACCTTTAATTATATCTCCTCATTGTAATATATTTATGTCACTCGAATTGCTCTTTTAGGTATATAATTTTCTCAAGATAGATAATGAACAATAGTTTGTCTTGGATGCATGATATTTTCCTCAGTTGTTATTTGGTTTCAACTAGCTTTCAGTAACGGTGTGGTCTCAGTTCGGTACATTGTATCGATCTGATGAGTCAAACTCTTTTTAATTGATTTTTTCAGTTTGTTCTTATGTTGTACTGTTGCACCAATGTCCAAGGCTAGGGGAGGGTTGGGCGCCCGCAAACATGTTTAGGTTCAACCCCGCAACATTCTGTATGTTGTCCAAGTCAGAGGCTGTACTTCAGTGGTTGTCGTTTGTTGCTGTTTTCATTTATTGTTTTGTACATAATGAGGCCGTTGGTTTTTACGTTTGAATTGTTATACATTTTGTCATGTCGGTAGCCTTTTATAAATTGATATAAGGTATAGGTTTCGTCACTATTGAAGGCCGAACGGGGAAATACAGTTGCTAACATCTATGTCATTTGGTAGATATATGTCTCAATTACAATCATACCACATATTCTTATTTTTATATAAAAGTAATGTTGGGTAAACGTCAATTTAGCAGCAAAGCAACGACCAAAACCATTAGAAGAAATGAGAAAAAGGTCAATAAAGACAGTAGTCTATACAATATGTCAAAAAAGGAAAAGATACTAGTGGGGAACCAAAAAATAAAAGTCGACGAAAAACAGGCAACACCATGGTTAAAACACGAAAAACGAACAAAAACCTCAAAATTATGCAACACAGATACTCAAAATACGTGGATAAATTCGAGTACTCCGGGACAGTAAGCCGTTTCCGCTCTTCAAGAAGTATATGTCGTCTTGCTTATAACAAGTAAAAACGAAGAAAGGTAACATTGAGTGATGATGTCACTATAACATTAACGGTACCAATTTTACTGCAGCAGATCCGCATTTCGACAATATTTCTCTCTATCAGTGATGCTCGCAGCCAAAATACAAGTTTTTGAAAATTCAAAACTTAATACAAGAGTTGAAGAGCTGATAAAACAAAAAATGGCAAAAAGCATAGCCACCTGAGAAAAAGTGAAGTCGACTGCGGATTCAACAAGTGAAACATATCTGTGGTCATCGGTGACACAGATATTCCATGACGGTAATTAGAAATATAAATCATGATGGCGTCCATAAAATATTCGAAAATATAACTTACCATTATGAACAGTTTATGCAATAGCTACCTTGTACGCCTCAGCCCTCTAATAGGTTATTATGTCAACATGTAAGCACAGTTTCTTTGGAAAGATAAACTGATTTGTATCTTGAGTCCTCAGCAATGTTTTTTGTGCAATAAAACTTGGCACAGTAACGCCGCATTCACAATACAAATACAGTTGAAATGTTACCATCCGTCAAATACAAACATACCTAAATTATACTCTAGGCCATCTTTTGTGTATGCTGTTTCTCTGCACAGACTAGATAATACAAAAGACGCAGTGCTTGTATTTCTGTACTTCATCTCACAGGTTGAGTAAGACATTTAGTATGGAGAAAACGCTCACCTCTCAATTCATGTTCAATACTGCCGCCAGCATCGGTTAAGGCAGATTTCTTTGTGGAAACACATTGTTTATAAAAGGCAAATTTTGTTCAATCGAGAAATGTAAAATGGTTCGCGATAGATCAATTGATATTAATCTTTATCTTGATAAAGGTAACGAAAAAATGCATAATGAACATATGTTTAAAGTTTCAAGTTAATTTGACCTTAATCTACTTTACAACAACACTTATATATGATACGGGACCGACAGACAGAAGAACATACCGGAAAACATAGCGGAAAAGATGATGCCACTCTTCTATCTTAATCGGGAAATTAAAGTAAATTCAAAATATACTTAGTTTTTACCAGTTAATACGAAAAGAGCTGCCTGAAACTACATAAACATCCTAAAATGGCGCTGTCGGTGAATATCTTAATATAACAGGACATGCATAGCCAGCATGGATAATAACGTTATAGAAAACACATGCATGTTACGAACATGCATAATACACAAGTCATGTTATTCCTTCATCAATTTCAAAAAAGATGCACCAGTTTTCCATACACACAAATACACCCTATGTCCATATCAATCTAGAACTTTAATTCAGTTTTTGGATCGCTGAAATGAACCTTTTTGTCTATCTGTTTCTGTTGGGTTTTTTTCATCTCAAAAGCATTGAAAAGGGGTTTTAGCCTTCGAGTTTTGGAATTGTCAGAAGTTTCCATTGAACTCTTTCCATTGACCGATTTCAACAATGGTGTCTGAACGTATGGTTAATCAACACCTTAATTTGTTTAATATCAAAGTTTTACACTGAAAAACAATTACTTATGTGCTACTAATAAAAAAAAGAGTTAAACATGGACATTCAAATGAAAGTTCAAACATTAAAGGATAAGTGGATTTTGTTCAAGGACGATTATTGAAATCTATTTCCGTTTGTAGCTAGGCAATTCTATGCCCAGAAAATGTTACGTGTGCAAAGCTGTCACTATAGATCGTATAGGTACTACTATGTCCCGCAATGTATACCTCGTCTCCTTTCTGTAGACTAAATACAACATCAAATGTCCCAGTCTTGTAACCGTCACCGATGATATAACTTCCAGATGCAGCCACCTTATTGCGATAAAGTCTCGGGTAAAATAGTTTCCCATCCTGTGACAGAATAACGGCAGTAATGTGATATAATCCAGACCGTGGAGCGGTAAATACCCCTGTATTTGGATTGTATCCATTTCCTACATTGGTCCAGACTTTATCAAATTTCACTATTGCGTCGTGTGCAACTCTTTGTGAACTTATCCGGTAAGCTGAGAAAGCAACTGGATCTCGTTTCTTTACCATTTCTTCATTACCTGAATCAGCACAATACGTAATTAATTTCTTTTTTATCAGATTTGGCAAACATTCGATCTTATTATAGATGTGTCTTATGTGGTTCAAAGGTATGAATTGTTTCCTTTGTTGTTGCATCAAATATTTCATAAAGGTGCACACTCATACATTTTTTCATAATAAATAAAGGCACAAGAAATGACAATAATTGATATTTAGTATTTGTTTTCATGTTTTAATATTGTTTTTTTTTCATTCAGTTTTATAATGTTTATGCTGTCATGCTCTGTATAAGCGTTTTAAAGACCAAAAATCCTATTCAGTTCTACCCGTGATTTTGGGTTAAAATTTTATGTGAAGGTATTTCGTGATTTTAGGGAACAAAATAAGAAGAAACAAAATGGGAGTCACTGACTTCGTTTCGTCGCTATATCAACTTCAGTTCCGTGTTTTTCTCCAATATGAATATTAATTGGTTGTTATTTAAAATTTCAAATAAGCCAAAAATATCCAAACTACAACCATAATTCTTTTTTTCATGTTTAAGGGAAGATTTGTATCTATCAATT